GCAGCTCGGCCAAATCCGTCGGCGCCCGTGAAACTCCAAACCGTTATTAAGTCGGCAAAATTGACCAGCGACCGAGGGGGTGGAGCTGTTTCCCGAGAAGGAATATCTGCACAACAAAAAAGATTGTCATAAACATGAGAAGTCCCAAGAAACAAATAAAAAGACCCAAAGGAACCGACGTACTTGTCGTTCTCCATTCCCGAGGGCAAAATAGGTCATTGTACTCGGGACCGACACCCCTCTCCCAACATCCCTTGAAGATCAAGATGTCGTCCTTGTACCCCTTGTCCGAGTCAGGAAGATGGGTTACAAGGTACATAGAGGGGTCCCTGGCTTTGAGGTAGAAATGTTGGTGGGGCATGACTCTTAGGAGGGAATAACAGAAAAGAAGATCATTGAGCCCAATATTCACCCCGAGGCGCCTATTGAGCTCTAGGACCCCCATAATTATCCGAAAGACGTTGAGGCAGCATTGCCCGGGGAAGAGACGGAAGCGAGACAGGAACTGAAGAAGCAGGGGGGTAAAGGAAACCTAATGCCACCCTCTATGATGGCCTTGGTATAGAAAGGCATGGCATCCGCGGCCCCGAAGGTAGGAGAGTTCAACAAAGGGTTAAAGCCCACTACGTCCACGCTCGGGGGGATGCCATACTTCGCCCTGAACCTATCAATCTGTGCCTCGCCTGTCACCTTGTATTTCCCTGACCCCGAGGGACCAGCCGATGGATTCTCGGGAACAGGGCGACGACGAGGCATCTCTAAAAGAGAGGGAAGGAAAAGGTGTTCTCTCTTGAAAACCTGAGGAAGTTCCCCGAGGGTTTAAATCAAGACGTACCGACCGGATGACACCACCGTTCAAATCGGAAAACAAGAAGGCCAGGAGGACGATAAAGAAGAAGGTTGTGAAACTCACCAGAAGACGTCGGAAACGGAGTTTTTTCAGGAAAAACTTTGAAAACGACTCGCACCGGAAGGACCAGGAGTCAACAATGGGTTTACTGACTGTGATTTTAAGAGAAGATGCTGTCGATGATGGCTGAGGAAACAGAAACTCCGGCGAGCAGATCAGAAAAGGCGTATTCTGGGTCAGAGATCGGAATGGCAAAACAATGGAAACCGGAGAAGAACCCCCTTTATATAGGGGGGAAACTGTCATCATTGGGCGGGAGAACCAAAAACAGCGCATTTAATGCGCACGACATCCCAAGACAGGGAAAGCTGCTCGAGGCCATAATGAAGGACGGATGGCAGTTGGAAAACCCTTCGTCTCCTGACAACGCGTGTCCTCGGCGTCAGAAGATCGAAGGCTGGGGGGCAGTTGATGGGACTCTTCTGAAAAGCCTATGATGAAGACACGTGTCCTCGGGGGGGTTTCTAGAACAATGTTGCTCGGGTTCAAGCACCATCGGCAAAAGCGTCCTCTCCCCCGAGGTACCGCTCATATAGGATCACATATTCGGTACATTATACAACGACATGTGTCCTCGGTCACCATGTACCTCGGGAACACACCACCCCTTGGTCCCCCGAGGTGAGCCTTTCCTCGGCGCCGAGGGTCACTCCATCCTGGACGCTTCCTCTACTCACGGATAAAGTTACTGACGTACGGGACATCAGCCTATGCCAGTCTAGACTATTCATCATGACCTCTTCTTACACAAGTAATGTCAGAACGTGCTGGAATACCGACGTAACAGCCAATAAGGGATGGACGCGTGGCAAATAATGTCACATCCGAAGCAGACAAACCGCATGCCGCTGCTGGCACGCGACTTGGGAAAGCAAACAATTAATTGCACCCTTCTGTTGACGAGACCGCATTTAATGCGGTAAGGTTCGGATATGAAAGGCAATAAATGCTCATATTACAGAGCATTTATTGCATCCTTCCCGAAAGGAGCATATTGTACCGTCGGCGTCCCGACAACTCACCATTGATTGCTCGGGACCCCGAGCAGTCAATTAGAGAAGACATTCCTCATCAAATGATTACACACGCTACCTGTGCCTGATGATCACCTACTGACCACACTGACAGCAATCATGATCTTCTAAGGTATAAATACCCCTCCCAAAAGACAAAGCGGGTATGCAATCACAAACTCTCTACTACGAAATATCCTTCTCAGTGTTTTCTCCTTCCTCTCTCTCATTCAAAGACTGACTAGACCGTCGGAGGGGATACGCCGGAAAACACTCCGGCGCCCTTCTAACTTGTTCTCCTTTGTTCCAGGAAATACCTTTCACACGTACAGGATCGTTCTTCCTTTCCACGGCCTTCCTTTGCCGTTCCAGGTTGCCACCGTGCCTCGAAGGTTGTTTCAAGCAGCGTGTTTGGCCACTCAACCGGCTCACTCAGAGTTCACCAGGGGAGAGATCTGTTCCCAATATTTATATATCGTGCAGGATCGAGCCCGCACAATTCCTAATCATACTAGTATTAGAAAGATTACCTTTATTTAAAAACAACCCAATTATGATATTATTGACTCATTAACTAATGATATCATTGGTAAAGAGTATTGTTAAACTCCCTCGAAAACAGTGGAGTTGCTTGTCAACTCAAACAGATTGGAGGGGGGGGGGGGTCCGGTTGGTTTACTAGGGTGATACTCAATCTGGTTCTAAACCACCCTGTATCCGAAGGAGATGCAAGTTCAAGGAAGTAAAAGAGTTTTAGGGTTTTCAACTGAATAAGGAGAGAGTAGAAATCTCTCTTTTGGGAGTTTTTTTTTTTTTGTTTGGACTGGAGGTGGATCTCTTCTGACTATAGCTATTGCCAAACAGGTTGATATACAATAAAATTTCAATAAAACATGTTATCAGCGCCTTGCAGTATTATATTAGGCCATGAATAATTAATAAATATATATTTCAATTCAAGGAATTCATTACGAGCCTATCTAAATGGAATAATCACAAACCTTTGATGTTGCTGATTATAACTTTCAAAAATAGGATCGTTAATCTTGAAGGGGTCCCCGCTTGGTGTATTGTTGAAAGCTTGAGCTGATCATCGTGAGGTTGTTGTAGCCCATTGCCCAAATTATATGCCTCCACAACTCACAACGAAAGATCACCCAAATATCTACAAAAAAACAAATATTCCATGGAAATCTCTAATCAAGCCCAAAGAACAACTGAGATAAGAAAGAAAATTTCAACTTATGAACATGAAATTCCACCCACTTAAAACTCTATAAAGGATATCCTATTCCTCTATTTTCTATCCATCACATAAGACAGAGGAGCCATGGTGCATCTAGAAGTGGAGGATGCTATTATATTTTAACTGTGTGGTGTGGAGCTGCTGACTCAGCCAAAGCAAGACTTGTTGAGTATGCTTGGTCTTATTGGCTGAGCAAGTCCATTCCCTCATCCTGTTTCTAGATGTTGCTTACCTTTCTATAGTTTTGTTTCCCATTTTCAACCTTGTAGAACAGTGTTATCAAAATCTCGCCTTATAACCTTGTGGAAGACTCTGCTCTTCTATAATCATCTGTACTTGGATTGCACATGTTTTGACCATGGTTTAATGACTTACTTTATGGAATGAGGGAAATCCTCTTGTGAAGCTGCTAGAGGTGTTGCAGCTATCTATAGCAGGTTCTGTATATTGATTAACATAACTTCAAATCAATGAAAATATACCTGTGGAAATTAGTGTTTGACTGCAAGATCATGTGTTTACATGCATGTATTGCCTATAATATTATCTATTTTTACATTGTGTACTTGCGATTTTTGACTGAATGAGCTAACATCATGACTTGCTGCTAACCTAAGAAGAATTATTTGAAAACTATTCTCTTGTTTGTTTTACTAGGGACTAGTGGCATCTGCCCTGAACTATGGATTGTTGGCATGGTCCAATAAGATCCTGGGACCTGCTTTGGTTGCTCTCTATTACCCACTTCAACCCGCTGCATCTGCATTCCTGTCAGCAATTTTCCTCGGAAGCCCTATTTATTTGGGAAGGTTATACTCCAAAACCTGAGACTTGCACTGATATCTTTACCTTTTCTATGTCTCTAGGATGATAATTTACACCAATGTACCTTGAATATCTCTATTTTGTTTGGTTGAGGGATAAATATGGGTGAGGAAAAACATCCATACTTTTGAGGGCACATAAATAGGTTTCTCGGACTAACACTTGGTCTAATTTTACATATGCTAAAACAGCATCCTGGGAGGACTTTTAATTATAGCTGGGCTTTATTTGGTCACTTGGGCATCCTATCGAGAAAGACAGGCAGCCATGGGGATTATTCCTCAAGTTTCTCATGCCTCTGATCCGCTGATTCACAGGGACTCATCCCTTGGCAACATCGCATACCAGACATGACACATTTTCTCAGGGCCTTCCACCTCAAATACCAAAGATCATGGATTAAACCAACATATATGATATCACTGTTTTCAAATTTTGTATTGAAGTCAACTCCATAGAAGAAATTTGTATCATTCATCAAGGGTTATATTGTCAAAGGATGCATTCTTGCGGTAAGTTTTATGTGCAAAAGCATGATCACTAGGAACCCTTTCTTTCAGGTGACTTCTTTATTCTGCGCAATTTCTTTATTTTCTCATGCACTAATTAATTAATTTGTAATCATTGATTGTGAAAATGATAAAGTAATGTAAAATAATAAAATAAGTTATTATTTTGCACGTGTCACACTTTTATTTGATGAAAAATAGAGGTACTAACTGGAACCAGAGAAGGTGCATTGCTTGTATTCAAAAGAGCAAGAGCAACAATTACAAGAACTCACATACGAACTGTGCACTTGCAAATAGAAGCAGTAAAGGCAGATCATCCGAATACTAACTAAATGCAAAACCTTGAAAGGGATGGCATGTTGAAACTCACATTTTCTGTATTCTAATCCTCAAAGCACGTACCAGATAGCAAAAGCAGGGCACAAAAATAAGTACAAATATCTGCCCCAGCTATAGCCAATCATGGAATTGCTATGCCTAGAAGCTTTCATAATTCAGTTCAATACATAAGAACTCCCCGCATCTCCGCATGTGGATACAACCTCGACACACGTGGCTACGTACATATGTGCCTCACTAGCCCTCACACTGTTTGAGTGTCGTGTACTGAGCTGAATAAAAATTGTCGGCCTATGGCGGGGAACAGAGCAATTAGTAGAAGAAAACTTGGCATTCCATCTGTATCCAAATCCCATGTGCAATACCTGTTCTATTCACACATTTTATCAATCTTACTCTCAAGATGTGTACTCCCACAAAAAAAACTGCACTTCATCTTATACAGTACCTTGATAGCCTCGACGCAGAGCCCGTGCTGTATGAAACCATGAAGCATTGCATCCCAACATGCAGCATTTATCTCAAACACCCTTCTTGCATCTTTCACCAACCCAAATTTCCCATACATGTCAACCAATCCACACTGCACATAACTTTTCAAATTAACCCCTAAATTTATCGCGTTGGCATGGACTTGTTGACCACAATATCCACCATCCCTCATCTTCCCACATGCCTTGAGAACGCTAGAAAACGTAAAGCTATTCTTCTTCACACTTCCCTCCCCATCTCTTTAAACACACTAATAACTTCATCGAAGCACTCTTCCTTACAATAATTGACAATGTTCGCTGTCCAATCAACTGAAACGAGGTCAGCACCTTCTAGACATCCCAGTTTTTCGTTTAAATTAAACCAAGGAGCTTCTCAAAAACAAATTCCTGGAATAGCCTGCCTTCTTTAGCCAACCATGTATTAGTCTCCCGGATGTCAAGTTCACTGTATGCATTCCACAATCCATGAAACCGAAAATTTGAGAATTCCTTCATTATACTGGTATTGGAACCGGTGTTTGTGTTGCAGGTCATGTATGGATGGTGATTTATGCTATGGTTGTTGAAGGCGGTGTTAACACGAAAATTGGACAGCTTTTGGATATGGTGCTGTGACCGTGAGTTCCATTAGTTTAGGTGACAGACCATTTTTGTGTTTGATAATCAAATACTATGTGAACTAAGTGAATTTTACTACCACATTCAATAACTTCTATGTTAGAATAGTAAAGTTCACTTATCTTATATGGTATTTTATTATTAATTAGTGATATCACATGACATGACATGATTTCAGTGTTTTTGTATTATGTCATCATAAATAGTACTCAATTCATATGGGTTTGGTTTGGTTCGGTTCGATTTGAATAATGTATACTAGAAAAAAAGGGATTAAATAAGAAAATACGATTGAATTGCATACACATACTTGGCCTGCATAGATTCCAGGATACAGCATCATGAGTGCAATCATAAAAAAGTGGTGTATATGTAGGACTTCGTACATAAACAATTCATTGTCATTTAATGTCCCGTCTAATTTTCTCTCAAATTTTCTCTCAAGTAACATTGTCAAAACTTTCAAGTTCCATGAAGACATGTAGATGGAAAGTGCAACGTTTGTTATAGTCTCCTTAATTTTGACGGAAATCTTTGAACATTGATGTAAGTGGGTGGAAGATTTATGGTACTAGAGCAGTTTTTTGGCATATTTATGGGCTTCATCTACTAAGCCGAAAGGATTTTTAGGGACTTTGATTTTTTTAATATTTGTAGAATGGAGATCGAGCTTTATATGACTCAGAATTACTACGTATTGCTTGTTGCTATTTTTCCTTAGGTTGAACATCTCGTCCACCATACATTATTTTCCGATGTAACACTTTTTAAATCACTAGTGTTCCCTTTTTTTTTTTTTTGGGTATAAAAAAATGTCTAATGCATTATCCATTGTGACTGGCAATGCAGTAAACAAGTTACACAGAGCACATACATAAACATAATTGACTATGCCTTTATGGTTATAACTCAAAAACAACCATTGGACTTTGCGTCAAACAGACATATATTTAAATGATCATTCTCCACATAACTGATTGAATGTTACGCAGAAAGGACTTCAAATTCATGTGTTTATCACAACTAATTCAAAATAAATTGACCAATCACTTCGATAGTTGTGTTGAGACTGCAAAACTTAAACACCTCGCTTTCTACTATATTGTTGGACCTTAAAGTTGCGACATAAAAAATTAGGATTAACACATGAAATTACTAAAAATATTAAAGTAATTCCAAACAACTTTATTTTATAACAGTCTTGCAAGATTGGGTTGTAACTTCATTTTTATTTTTTAATAGTATCTCTTCAATGTTAAAATGCAAGTTGGTGTATGGTAATCAGACCCAATTTTGAATTGTATTCTAATTTTACCGTCCAAAGTAAAGTCGTCATATGAAGTAGAAGCAAGACAGAATAATTGTCATGCTTCAATTTTCGTATATGCATGAAAATATTATTTAAACATAATTTGGAGACCTAATTCAATATAATTGGCAGGACATTTTTGTCAAGTGGGTCCACCAACCCCACTCCCAATGAACAAATTGACATATATCATAAGTGGGACCCACTACAATAAATAATGACAGGTAATAAGTGTTTCGACAGTCTAGTGTATGTCTATTTCCCTGCATTAACGGCTGTACAGACTATGGTAAGAAGCTTTTTAATCTTCTCTATATATATGGGTGAATGACCCAAGAAAAAGGGGGTCTCAAGTATGAGCACCTCGGCTCCATACTCCACACACACACATTTTACCATTTCCTTAATTTTATACATTAGTTATTCATGTGTTGATCGCGATACTGACTTAGGTATTGAAGGAGCCTCCCCTGGCTCAACGTCGGGGGTCCTTCTAACCTCTTTCTGTCTTGCAGCTCACGGATTGGATTATACTCGAAGACTAGGGGCGCTCCTCGAGATATCTCAAACTATTGCAGGATTTATCTCGTGCAATTTGACGCCGTTTGTGGGAAACGATATATGTACGCTCCAAAATCTTTGTATCTCTGGTCCGTGAGTGCTGTCCAAACCTTGTTATGATTCGTGCATCCTTGCGTTTTCGGATCCAATCAGTTTATGAAGCTCAGACTCAATTCTCTCCCATCCATGGGTACTCGGCCTTTGTAGCAAATTGGTATGATTACTACATTATATTGGCTTGTCCTCTAGTGCAAGGAGACATTCTGCCACTGACTTTAGCTTTTGCTCGGTGTCCAAAGAAGAGGTGTATCGGCACTAAGCCAACATAGGGGCCAATCGATGTATCACTCGTTTGGGATGTCTATGGAACTCGGGTGTTTTTATGTTCTGCGGATGGGTTTCAGCAAACAAAGATAAGCAAGTTGTGTCGATGTGCACATAACAGTCCCACATAATTGATGTATCAAAGAGTCCTGGGATCTGAAAAATATTTTGACCATAGAAGAGCAGTCGATATTTGATAACTCGGCTGGTTGGGTTTCTTCGTATTTGTTCACTCGTGGAGCTCAGGATACACTCATCATTATTTCGCATGATTATCCACGTCGGAATATCTCTTATATATTTATGCAAGAGTTCAGCGAATACGAAGATAAGTGGTCTCCCTCCACTTATATTTAAATAAAATTCAAATAATGCCATGTAGGCCACCATATGAAGCATAGAAGTATAGTCTTTCTGTGCTGCTAGCATATGTAAAGTGCAAACCCAGTAAAAGTACCCAACACAGTTTCTCCCTATGGGGTTGTTAGTGCAGCTTGGTCTCACTTTAAGTGCCGACTTATGGTGCATGAGACCCATAACTCGTCATTCTCTTACAAGTACAACCAGTTTAAGCTTAGGCAGAGAGCAAGTTCGCTTTGGAGAACCACATTTTGAAGTTTCACCATTAACAAAGACTAAAATGATTGTCGTATTTACTCCAGTGTCACTTGACGAAGATTACACTTGCTCACTTGACAAATCTATGCATGTAAACACAAGCACACAGATAGCAAAAATCATGGAGTTTTGCCTAATATGACTAACAGGGAGCAAAGCTCCTTTAGTACAATTGTTTTTGATGTCTTAGTGTTGCAGGGCTGACTTAGGAGTACTGAACTCGGTTGGTCCATCTCTTCATCATTGGGGTGATCTCAGGGTTGCCTGCAAGTTTGGGTGAATCACTAAGTAGTGATCGGTCTCACCTCCGGAAATCCAGAGGGGCTCAATATCATCATGAAAGAACGACCTCCCCCAAAGTCCTTCAAACTAATTAGCCTGCAACTCTCTCCCTCAAGGAGCCGTTCCTTTGGACATTCAATCAAGCATCGTGGCATGCTTATCGACACACTGGTGTAGAGTTGCAGTACAGTACTTGACACAGCTACAAGCTTATAGATGGTTCGACGTTATGAACAAACTACACATCACTCACCATGAAAGTCATCTTCGCCTATCGTTATGGGGTTGTTGCAAAGTCTGAACCCAAGGTGGTCTTGACCAATCGAGTCAAAGAATGAGTGTTTATGGGAGCAAGAAGGTCATAGGCTTCTACTACTTAAAACCCACTTAGCTCGCGATAAGTTATGCAATTGCTCAGACTTAGAAAATCCATGTGCTTGGTCGGTACATTACCCAGCAGTGGACTCGAGCACCTACTCACTGATAATCGCTCGGAGTGTCTCTCTGCTATGTAGATGGCGAGAAGTTTGAGATTCACAGAAGCATGCCGCCCTCAAACCATGGACCAGTGTTTGGACTTTTACGAGTAATGCTTTTCTACCAAAGTTATCTCCACCCATGAAGGAGGGTCAGGCCTCGGCAGTGAGCACATTTAGGATGTCATTGCCATTACAAGATGTCGCAAGAATCTACAAGGAGTTGCTCGTCATCTATATTTGTCGATCAAATTTGATGGATCCAAAGATAAGTGCATTTCTCACATGCTTCAACCGAGTTCGAATAATACTTTTTTCGTCACTTAATGATGTATATGATTGTTTCCCATATTTGTTTCTTAGAATGCGCCTGTACATATAATAGAGAAATTATGGGATACATGTCTCGGCATGGCAACTATGTTCGGCTACCCGTGGAACTCTTGGATACTACCCCGAAGAATTATGGGGTCAAATTGTTTTTTTTTTCTTTTATGTTTGCCTTTTGCCATAGAAACAAACCAAAAGTCAGTCGTTGTAACTAAGAAGGAAGGGGGTTGGCAAATCACTCGGGGTGTGGTTCATCATCTCGGGATCGACTGGCTCATCTATCCGAGCCACCATTTGTCAAAATAAATGGGTTTTATTTCCACTACAAGCCCAAGTGAATGAGGGCCCATGAAAATAAAAAATTCTAGTGGGCATTATCACGAAGCGGCTCCCACCCAGAGAACGCTAAGGCCGAAACGAACCTTCGGTGATGCCCCCAAGCCTGCAAGGACAATGACATGATTCCTGAGGTTGGCATATCGAAAACTCCTATCTTGCCTATAAAATAAAATAACAAAACTACATTTTTGGAGCTCGAGACCTCTCTTTCTGTCTCCTTGTGATCAACATCTTATTCTTCATTATATTTCGGACTAGTGTTAGAGCATCAGTCGCCTATGAAAAGCCTTGGTTGGTTGTTGATCTGTATACAATTGTTCACCATCTAGTGGTTGTCCCTTTTTACTCACATGTGAAATTAATAAGCTAATGTCCTTTCATAGTTAGGGAAAGAGAATGCTTGA